AAATGGCGGCTCCGTGCTTATGCAAATGAAGCCCGGGAAATTCAAATCCCGGGCTTCATTTGCAAGTGCGGTATGCCTACATTACCCCGCTAGTTCGAACTAGTGGGGTAGTGTAGACATACCCTGATTCTAAGATTAATATGGGAAAATTCCACGAGCCAAACTCCCACCCTAGAGTCCACTGGGTCTCCAGACCCTTCTGAGGGGAAGGTGAGTAAGGTGGCCCTGCAGTGTCCTGGCTATGTGCCGGAGTGACTTAATCCATGGTGGGAGAACAGGGGGGAGATGCAAAGGGTAAAATGTTGGAAAATTTTAACCTCCTCTACTGAAAATGAACGATTTCAGGAATGGATCCATGTGTGAACCAAGGTGCAAAACACCAACACCCCCATCAGAGACTGGTCTGCCAGTTGGGCCACCATCCTGACAGCTCTTGACACATTATTGAGACAGACTTCTTGTTCTCTTAGCTCCACTGTGGCAAATAAGTTATTTTCCTTTTTCTCCCCGCAGGTCTCTGGGGAAGTGCCTTGGGAAGCATGCAGGAAAACAAACACTATTTAATGGGTACTGAAATTTCTGTGTATTGAAGGTAGGGGTGGGCCATGTGTTGAATTGGAACAGGTCCCCCATAGAAGTGTCACTATGGCAACTGCAGCTGCAGCAGGCACAGCCAAGGGAAAGGTGTATGATCCCCAACTGTGTCAGACAGACACACAGGCAGATAGATAGATGAACTGTCTGTCATACATAGTAGATAGCTCTTCGTTTCTCCACCCCTGCCCCCTGTTGGCGCAATGGGGTTACAGCTGCCCCAGCCAAATTTATGACACCTTACTCCTCCCTGTGGTCATTCTGCCGTATAACTGTCATTGCTCTCAGACCCCTCCCCTTCCCTGTTATGGAAAACAATCCCATTCCAGGCACATCCCATTGTCCTGACACAACCAAACCCTGACCTAGCTTTAAGTTATGGTACGAGGAAGTTGCGTCGCAAACGTGGTGGTTTTAGCTCTTATCATATATTTAGTAGCCTAATGTCTGTGACTCTGTAACAGTGTAATGCTTGGTGTTGCCTCTGGGCAGCGCTGTTGCCTCCCGCCGTGGCACTCAGCTGACTTCTGCGCAGCTCAGCGAGGACGCTGTGGTGGGGAGTGTGGGGCCCAACCGGCCACTTGTGCCGCTTGATCCCCCATGGCGGCCCGGCTGAGTGGCACAGAAGTCAGCGCCCCGGCGGAAGGCAAAGGGGGGGCGGGGTGCTGATGTGTGGTATGACTATGGCTCCATGCCCCACCCCCTGGCTGTGAATGTCACTGCCCTGCCCCCCTTCGTCTCCCGCCGTGGCGCTCGGCTGACTTCTGCACCGCTCAGTCGGGCTGCCGCAAGGGGGCAAGTGGCACTTGCCACCGTTTGGGCTCCACAGTCCCGCGAGTGAGAGGCAGGGGAGGGAGGAGAAGAGAAAGAGAGATGGAGAGAGAGGCAGGAGACAGAGGAGAGCTGAGAGAGGGGGGAGGCAGTAGGAGGAGGAGGAGAGAGAGAGATGGAGCTAGAGACCGGAGGCTCAGGAGAGAAGACCGATGTGGAGGAGAGACCTGAAAATCCCGTATTACGATGGGTTAATTGTCTAGTTGTTAAAGAGATGTCCTTGAACAAACGGGCTCACAGATGAACGGCCACAAAGGCAGATGCATATTTCTAAAAAGTATAAGAAGATTAGCTGTTACCTGCTCCTGCTTCGCTGTTGTTGAATGAAAACATTTTGTAAGATCCATTGGAACTTTCTGAATTGAAATATTTCCAAAGTTCAGATATTTAGAAAAGTTGACTTTTTGAACATAGTTGAGAAGAAAACAAATTTCAGAATGTCCAAGATTTCCCATGAGATAGTAATTCTTGTGATTATACCAGGGAAAGCCAGATCAAAACCAAGTTCTTCATACCAAGATCTCAATCAACCTCAAATCTTAATGGGAAACAATGACTCCACTTTGCATTTCAGAACCCAAATGTGATTTTTGTAGATTACGGTTTATTATCAATAACTGTAAGAAATGATTCCTAACGCATGCTTTGTTTTCCATTTCTGAGCACATATTAAGGGACTATTCGAAAGAGGCCCGAAACCTTTGGATTTTACGGCAGGTGGGTCCCTGTATTTCTGGTTGATTTTCTTTGTCCTGACATGTCTCCGCTGAAGTGAAAGGAGCTATTTCCGATCTGCACCACTGTGAGAGGGTGAGCCCCCCAAGAGTAGAGCAGCATACGCTGGCAGAAGATTTTTGGGGGTCCTTCATTTCTAGTTCCCCAACCACATTAGCTCCATCGATAGAAAGATTCTCTCTTCCAGCTTACAGCTGCTGCTACACTGGGTCTCTGGTACCAAAGAGGGTTTCTTTACATTACACTAAACCAATTTCAGAGAGAGATACCCTAAACCCACAAAGCAGATATCAGTATCCACAAGAGAAATATGGCTTCCTAGGCCTGAAAGAACTATTGTAAGCATTTAGTCTCACTGCCTTCCTAGCACAGCAAGAGAACTTCTCCAAAATAATACATCTTTTTAGAAAAAAAATCCTCTTGATTTGAAAATTGATATAGTTGAAGAATCCACCCTGTCCCTTGGTAAGTTTTTCTACCAGCTAATTACCCTCACTGTTTAAAAAACAATTAATCCTGACTCTCCGGTGAATTTGTCCAGCTTCTAGCTCTCAGCCACCGGAGTTTGTTATATTGTTCTAGGATCTGCATGGGGAGCAAATCCCAGATGAGTCCAGAACGTCTTTCATGGCCCTGTGCTCTACTAAGTCAGAAGAGATGGTCCCTAGGGCCCCTCCTGGCTGGCAAAGTTATGAGTTTTTTTGAAATTTCTTCTTCAGATCCTACCTCGCCCATCCTGTCTTCACCTCAAGTCATTTCGCTATGATATTCAAAGAACACTAAGGGAGTTAGGTACCCTAAAGCCACCAACCACTCCGGGTACCTAACTCTCCTCATGTTTGTTGTAAATCTCTGCTTAGAGTCCAGATTTTAAAGATATTTAGGCATCAAAAAGGATTTCCAAAAGCCCAGATTCAGAGGTGTTATGAGGTCCAGATGGATGAATCAGACGAACAATTTCAAAATGTTTGGGGGAAAAAGTCCTTTCCGGTGAATCAAAACTTTCCCTTTTTAGATTTTTTTAATGTGGTATTCTACATCAAAGAAATATTGGAGACCATACATCAGAGTTTCTTAAAGTGTGTTCTGCGGAGGCAGTCGGAGGAGTGCGGCAGAGAACAACAGAATTAAAAATGGCCGCTCTTAAAGGGGGGATGCGACTTTTTTTTCTTGTTGTTTTCCAATAACTTTCTCCCCGATTCTTTTCCCCCCCCGACCTCTTTTTGTTTGGTTGGTTTTGTTCAACCAAAAATCCTTAGTGTGGTTTTATGTTCCTTGGCCTTAAAAGAAACACTGCCGTACATATCCATTCCATTCTGGGAAGGTCTGGTATGTTGTATCAAAGCATTTCATTTCAATTCTTTCTTCCTCCCCATACCCGCCAAAAAAATAATTGTCACCAAAATCAGTATGTTCCAAATTGCGAGCAAAACCAATACGTTTTGAAAGGTTGGCAAAATCTTAAGCAGAGAGCTCAAGAGGGGATTGAATGAGGATTGAATGAATGAATGAATTGCTGCATGCTGACAATATCCATGTGTTTGCCAGTATTCCCGCAAATTCCTGCAGCTGTACCACACAGGCTCAGGTTTTCAAAAGGGACTGAGGGAATTAGAACCCTAAAAGCTATTGCTTATTAGTGGCCACCAAAATTGCTGTCGCCCCCTTTCAACATCCCTGTGCCCCAAAATGGATCCAATGAACTGTCCATTGATTAACTGAACTCTAAGCTCCTTTCCCCCTTTCTTTATGCAGTGTACGGAATCTTCAAGAATGAATGGGATCGCCTTGGAAATAGTGTAGATGACTATAGGAGCAACCCTGATAACACAGTTTGGACCAGGTTTCGATCCTACTTTGAAGCGCCACTGAAAGCTCTAAGTAAGTCTTATAGAAACTTTGGTCTGTAAGACAGGCTTCCGAATGTCCTGATTCCTGCTTCAGATGTGGGAGCCAAGAACCAGATGTGCCTAAAAAAGAGAACAATGATCCTTGAATTATACCCCTGTGTCATTCATCATTTCAACTGTGTCAGCTCTTTCTTCTGCTATTTCTCCCCTGATCTTAAGAGCAATACGAAAAGGATGTCATCGTCACTATCAGGTTAAAGTTTAGGAAAAAGACATTCATAGCATCATGGAATCAGAAAATACTAGCAGTGGAAGGGACCTTGAGAGGTCATCAAGTCCAGTCCCCTGCCCTCCCAGCAGGACCAAGCACCATCTAGACCATCATCCCTGACAGGTGTGTGTCCAACCTGCTCTTAAATATCTCCAGGGATGGAGACTCCACAACCTCCCTGGGCAATTTATTCCAGTGTTTCACCACCCTGAGAGCCAGGAAGTTTTTCCTAATGTCCAACGTCAACCTCTCTTGATGCAATTTAAGCCCATTGCTTCTTGTCCTGTCCTCAGAGGCCAAGGAGAACAATTATTTCTCCTTCCCCCTCGTAAATACCTGAAAACCACTATAATGTCCCATCTCAGTCTCCCCCTTTCCAAACTAAACAAGCCCAGTTCTTTCAGCCTTCCCACATAGCTCTTGTTTTCTAGTCAAAGGAGCCAAATCTAAAAGCGATACATTTAACAGCAGAGCTGATTGAAAAAGGAAACAACAGTTTGATATTTTCTTAAGTTTCCCAACTTCTTTTCCTTTTCCAAATAGACCCCCCTTTTGAAATACGTTGGAAACATTTGCAAGGCAGCGGTCTGTCAGATACATGTTTGATGTATTGCTCAAAGTCACTATTGAAATAATCATGGGAAATTGTCATTTTTTGGACAAACTTTCTTTTTATTTTAAGGAAGAGCATCAATAACCATTTTGGTAGAATGGGTTATAAAACTGTCAGATACAGGTTTGATGAATTGCTCAAAGTCACTATTGAAATAATCATGGGAAATTGTCATTTTTTGGACAAACTTTCTTTTTATTTTAAGGAAGAGCATCAATAACCATTTTGGTAGAATGGGTTATAAAACTGTCAGATACAGGTTTGATGAATTGCTCAAAGTCACTATTGAAATAATCATGGGAAATTGTCATTTTTTGGACAAACTTTCTTTTTATTTTAAGGAAGAGCATCAATAACCATTTTGGTAGAATGGGTTATAAAACTGTCAGATACAGGTTTGATGAATTGCTCAAAGTCACTATTGAAATAATCATGGGAAATTGTCATTTTTTGGACAAACTTTCTTTTTATTTTAAGGAAGAGCATCAATAACCATTTTGGTAGAATGGGTTATAAAACTGTCAGATACAGGTTTGATGAATTGCTCAAAGTCACTATTGAAATAATCATGGGAAATTGTCATTTTTTGGACAAACTTTCTTTTTATTTTAAGGAAGAGCATCAATAACCATTTTGGTAGAATGGGTTATAAAACTGTCAGATACAGGTTTGATGAATTGCTCAAAGTCACTATTGAAATAATCATGGGAAATTGTCATTTTTTGGACAAACTTTCTTTTTATTTTAAGGAAGAGCATCAATAACCATTTTGGTAGAATGGGTTATAAAACTGTCAGATACAGGTTTGATGAATTGCTCAAAGTCACTATTGAAATAATCATGGGAAATTGTCATTTTTTGGACAAACTTTCTTTTTATTTTAAGGAAGAGCATCAATAACCATTTTGGTAGAATGGGTTATAAAACTGTCAGATACAGGTTTGATGAATTGCTCAAAGTCACTATTGAAATAATCATGGGAAATTATCATTTTTTTGACAAACTTTCTTTTTATTTTAAGGAAGAGCATCAATAACCATTTTGGTAGAATGGGTTCTAAAACTGATTGAAAATTAGGGAGAGAGATATGAGAGGTTTATGAAAGAACATGTTTTTACCTGGACATGTATTTTCTTTTTCAAATGTGTTCTGTTCTACTGCTGCATAGATAGGGTACGGATTCATGCCATTACTGGCGGCAGCCTTGTGTTCAGATAACTTTTTCCCACGATTCTGGAAAGGGGAGAATTGATTAGTGCAGAAAGAGAAAAGTTCTGGTGGTGTCCCCAGAAATTCGGTTCTTTACTAATTAGTTCAGGTTTGGAATGAAACTCTTTTTACCCAGACTACTATCATCTTCCTGGCTGTTCCCTCCTTCTAGCCTGCACTGTGACTACTTTCTTCCACTATTTGATCTGAGGAAGTGGGTCTGGCCCACGAAAGCTCATCATCTAATAAACCATCTTGTTAGTCTTGAAAGTGCTACATTGTCCTGCATTTTGCTTCAACTACCCCAGACTAACACGGCTACATTTCTATCACCCCTGACAGGTGTCTGTCCGACTTGCTCTTAAATATCTCCAGAGATGGGGATTCCACAACCTCCCTTGCAATTTATGCCAGTGTTTCACCCCCCTGACAGACAGGAAGTTTTCCCTAATGTCCAACCTAAACCTCTCTTGCTGCAGTTCAAGCCCATTGCTTCTTGTCCTGTCCTCAGAGGCCAAAGAGAACAAGTTTTCTTCCTCCTCCTTGTGACACCCTTTTAGATACTTGAAAACTGCTATCCTGTCCCCTCTCGGTATTCTCCTTTCTAAACTAAAGAAGCCCAACTCTTTTAGTCTTCCCTCCTAGCCAGGGCCAGCCATTTTTGTTGCTTTTCTCTGGACCTTCTCCAATTTCTCCACATCTTTTTTGATCTATATGACGAGACTAGGAATAACTAGGCAGCTTTCTCAATGGAGCAAGATAACTAAGGTTTATCCTCCAGAGATCTGGATCAGGGCACTTCAACATCATCATAAAGCATCTGGAGAAAAGGAAAAAGTGAAATGACAAAACTTGAAGACGAAAAAAAATGATAGTTAAGTCAAAATCAGACTGGAAAGGTTTGCGGGGGATTTCACTAACCTGTGTAATAGGGCAGCAAAATAATCAAAGAAATTTGACGATGATAATTGCAAATAAATGCACGTTGTGAAACTGAAGAACATAAGAACATAAGAACATAAGAACGGCCGTACTGGGTCAGACTAAAGGTCCATCTAGCCCAGTAGCCTGTCTGCCGACAGCGGCCAGCA